ACTGCCTATTTTTCCTATGGTTATACATTTTACTCTACTTTAGTATTATCGTCGTAATTACTCCTCTACTATCGTTACTAGCTTCATTGTGGTTGCTGTCATCGTCGTCGTTAATTTTATTGTTGTTATCGTCACTATCCTCTGTAACATGAGTAGTCGAGTGTATAGGAAATATAGCTGTGAAGACGCATGAAAATAAGGCAGTCACATTAGAATGATACTCAGTATGACTTATACTCTGCCTGGCAAGCTAAGTGTATTGCCCGGACAGCATAGCGCACTCAAAGCCCAAGGGTGCTCAATGTTGGTATACGTATTGAACAGCATTAACGGAGGCTCCTGGTTACCGAAAAAACATACTAAAGACCAATCGGTCAAATCGGGCATTGTCGTCGAAGCAATGTGGAATTCTTATCATTGTAGTTAGAAAGGAGAAAGGTCGGCACGGGAATGTGTGGTCCGGGTGAAGTACGCTGGCAAAGTTCTCAAACACCTTGTTGGTTCAAATGTTTGCTACTATGACCGCCCGAAAATTCTTCCAAAACATCTCAACACTAATGCCGAAGCCACGCACTTCGTCGAATAAAGCAGTCATGAATTCTTCTCTCCTCATCAGCAACCAACCACTGAGGTCAGAATAAGACAACAACACCTACGATCTCGCCGGTAATCGCTATGGAAAGTAAGTCTCAATTTTCACGTTGGTTTCGGCCGAAATTCCGTCAGGTGATTGATTCAGTCCAAGCCCCCGCAAAGCCTCCAAACATCAGAAACCTCCAGCTTCTGTCCACGGATCTGCACCTTTGCATAGTTGACTACTTAGCCTCGTTTGAGCGAGCGGCATTGGCCCTCACTTGCAAACCAATGCTGTTGAGCCTCGGCTCAGAGAGCTTGACACTGCAAAAGCGTTCCGACTGTCGGCGCGAGCTCCTCCTTTTACTAGAACGAGACCTCCGCGACCTCTCACTCTTTTTCTGCCCGCGATGTGTGGCGTTACATCCGCCAGAGCTTTCTTGGACTATTGCGAGGGACGAAGAGTACCAGCGGATCTTTGGCGAATCTCGTCCCTGTGTCCGGAAATACGAGAGATCGCGGCCAGACTGGGATCCATCGCCATGGCTTCCAAGGGGTCTCGACTACGACACGATCAGGCTCGCCATGACACGGTTTCGACTGGGGGGCTTGTGCCGTCCCAAAGATCTGCTGCCGATGAGTCAACGCTGGTATGGTAAGTTTGACAAGAACGGCTACAGTCGCCCTCATGTCCACCACGACACAGAGTTTTTGGTATCGAGAGGTCGAATGATCCTCTGTACCAAGATAAAGCTACAAACCGACAAATGTGTATGTTCCGGGGCGTCATCGATTAATATTGACAAGTCGCTTTACCTGGATATTTTGAGCAAGAGTGCAGACCGGTCACACTGTTGTGCGCACACGACTTGGCAGCGGAAATACCCCTTCATCTTCAACCCAAGTACGATCGAAACCCACGAGTCAGACAACTTCCAGGCCAACGTTCGCCTGTCAAAGCGCCAGAAGAAAGTTTTTGGGGGGGTTGAGACCTGCGATTTCTGCCACACAAGCTATACCTACTGTATTCGCGATGGCGGTGGAAAGATTGACCTCATCTCTTATAAAGATCTTGGCGAAGGAGAGATTACGACGGACCCGAGGTGGAGGTCTCACCAATGGCAAGGGGCGGAAATTCCATTACAAAACATTAATCGACACCGGTTGGCCATTTGGAGTCGCTGGGTTTGGATTCGAATGCGACTTGGTCTGGAGGTAGAGTTGAGAAAGGCTAAGAAGAAGTGGAACAAACGAATCTTCGGCTAGGGTATGCTGGGTGCCGTCGACGGGGATTCTCGGTTTGCCTTATGTCAAACAACGATGTTCACGGTAGACCTTGGCGTAAAGGCTCTAGATTATAAATTGCCCACATTCTATCCGTCAGTTCTGGCAGGATACCGCTACGTAGTACGCATAAAGACGACGTACACCCGAAATGGTTCTCTCGGTATGCCCGCGTCAGCCTCAATCATAGGCAAATCCCACAGTCAGGGGGGAACATTCCGCTCCTTGTCTTCCATACCTTCCAGAATCGGTGTAGACGTTACGCCCAGCCTGATGATCGCCTTGGATGTCTACAAATTTGGTTGACGGGCAAGCTTGTTCGCGCCCGCATTCCGGACCAGGGTGGTAACAGATGCGGATCTGACAATGGCATCTGGCCTTGGGAAGAAATCGCCTATCCACCTCCATGACAACACCAAGATCAACACGTAGTCGGCACTACCGCGCCTCCTGCCGCGAGGCCCCCATCATCCATGGAATATGCAAGGCCGATGGGATAGCATTTGACTCGCCTTGACGTAGCGGCGAAGCGGGAGCGCCCCTGAACTTACGCGGCCAGGATTCTTGGCGGCCCGCACGGGTGGAGCGCGGATGCGGTCCTGGAGCCCCGAACCCCGGCGCCCAACGGTAATACCTCCGTTTTCATTGGTTGCCTGTTTCTTGGAGGGCCGGGCAAGGCAATTGATCTGGTCGTGGTTCTTCGGGATGTGGGAGCGACATTTTTCGTTCACCCGACGTCAGTGGAGATCGTGGAACATCTGGCTCGCGAAATGGTTGGCGGTTTGAGAATCTGAGCGCTGATGAGAAGGGGGATGACAAAAGCAAAGTCGCGATGAGATGAACATCTCTGGGGGCTGCTCAGGGGTGCCTCTGGGGCGATGCAACGAAAGGCTTTTGGTCTATTTGGGGAAGGTGAAAAGCATACGCGGAACCGTCGAGAGACTTATAAAGAGTGATCGTCTTCGCCGTTTGATCAGCGAACAGAACATCAGCTGAAATCTGTAGCCTGCATTTCCAGACACTCTCATTCGTCCGTCTTTACACATTCTTTAGCCCGCGGTAACATTCTTTACAATGCAGTTCCAACTCCTCGCATTCGCTGCTGCGCTCTTCACGGGTGTGGCTGTCGCCCACCCCGGCCACGAGCACGGCCTGAGCCACACTGAAATGGTCCGCCGCGGAAACCTTTCCAAGCGTTGCGCCGTCCAGGCCGGTCAGTTCAGCGAGGTCCGCAAGAGGCGTCACGCTGAGAAGCGCTCGCTTGCTAGCCGCCACCTCGCTGCCCGCGACTCCAACGTCACCATTCACACCGAGGGCCCCCACTACAACACTCTGCAGAATGACACCTGCGTCCTGACTCCTGAGGTCACCAAGGGACCTTACGTCTGGCCCCAATCGCAGACTCTCCGTCAGGACATGAGCGAGGACCAGGCCGGTGTTCCTCTCTACCTGGATATCGGTGTTCTCAACATCAACACTTGCGAAGTCATGGAGGATGTCTTGGTCGATTTGTGGCATTGCAATGCTGTAAGTGAACGCTTAATAGATCCTCAAGACATCAGGGAAGTAAACTAACAATATTTGCTCCAGACCGGCTCTTACAGCTCTTTCACCGGACGCGACCCGAACACTCCCTTCGAGGAGCTCCTCGAGCAGCTGAACATGACCATCGGCCCCGACCTGGACCTACACACCGATGACACCACTTGGCTCCGCGGCATGTGGCCCACCGATAGCAACGGCATCATGGAGATGAAGACCGTCTTCCCCGGCTTCTACGTCGAGCGCACCATCCACATCCACGCCCAGGTCCACACCGACTGGTCCGTCCGCAGCAACGGCACCATCGTCGGCTCCAACATTGCCAACACCGGCCAGATCTTCTTCGACGAGGAGCTCAGCGCCCAGATCATGGCTCTGGCGCCCTACGTCAGCCACACCGAGATCAATCGCACCACCAACGACATCGATTCCATCTTCGCTGCTGAGGTCGTTGGCGGCTGGAACCCGAACATGATCGTTGAGCCTCTTGACGGCGAGGACGTCACCAAGGGCATGCTCGCTTACATCACCCTCGGCGTTGAGGCATAGATGTCGTGAATGAGTTGGGCGGAGTCGGTGATTTTGAGTACATAGATTCAGAGGAAAAATGAAGCAATGATTTTGGCCTAAACTTTGGAAACTTTCAGTTCTTTAAACATGAAGTTGGTCTACAACAACCGATTTATTGTATGTGAGCAGAGAGATAACCTCGACATGTCGTCAGTAGAGTTTGACCATGTGGGCACTGCGGCAGAAATTCCTCTGCGCCCAAGCTTTATCCCACCGGATGCAGCTGCGTTGCGATCCAGCATTGTTCATCTTATGAACCCCCTTGAAACTTTCGCGGCTCGGAGAATTTGCGCAATGTTGAAAGTTACGGGTAAGGCGATCTATTAATTACAGCAATCCACACAACGCCGGCGGGATGCGCAACATTTCCGCTCTGTGAACCAGGCCATGTCCAATGGATGGAGCGCACATCCGCAGGAGACCAAATGTCGACAAATGCACAATCACGAGGCAATCAATCAAGAAAAAACAAGAAGAAGAAGAAAAAAAAAGAAAAAGAAGAAGAAAGAGTCCGCGGTACGGTTGTCCCATTAGCAAGATTCATCTCGTCTTCTTATTTTTCCCCAGTTTCTCAGACCGCCTTAAGGTCCAGTGTAAAACCAGTGGAAAGATCACGTCTGCAACTACTTGGAATAAGCCTAACGGCACTTCCAGTAGTTCGCCCCAGGCGTAAGAGTGTCTCAAACTGCAATGCAAATGCCATCAATAATGCTAGGGAAGACCAGTCTCCAACTACGGTAGCGGCAGTATTGGGGCCTGCCGCCCGGTCGGCTTGTCGCCCCACAAATCGAGGAGCCGAAATGTCTCCACAACGGCATCAGCGCATTCGGCTCCTCAATTTAGCGCCGGCGATTTGTCTCGTCGGCTCCTCAACTCACTGGCCCATTGTGTCATGAGCCACACTGATGGAATGAATCCCGCCTAATAGAGGGCACCTTGATTTGTATAAAACCCGCTGAGAAGGAACCTTCACATATCAACTTCCTTCTAGCCAATCTCTTTAACATCAGATTTCAACGTCTAGAACAGCCATGTCTTCCGATAATTTTACCAGGTGGCAGCCGCATTTCAATGACTCGGTTCTCTCGCCTCGAATCGCTTTCAGTTTGCCTGCGGCTGTTCTCGTCTTCGTTCTTTTTGCCTACCTTCGAGGGCTTTACCGCGTTTACCTGCATCCTCTAAGCAACTTCCCTGGGCCAAGAGAAGCGGCCAAATCGCATAGTTGGTTGTACCAACAAACCCAGAAGGATTACCCTGAAGATATTTATGAGCAAATCCATCATAAATACGGTGAGACTGCCCTTCTGATCCCTGTGATACCGGTTGGATGTTGCAGCTGACAACGAGGGCAGACGCCAAAGCCATTAGAATCGCGCCAAATGAGCTTCACATTACCGACACGAACCTCTACAAGGTTATCTACAGGCAATCTAACCCTTTTCCCAAGAATGAGCCTTTCTACCTGGCATTTAATGCGCCGTCTCCCACGGTCTTCACCGAGATGGACGAGGCTAAGCACAAGGAACGGCGACGCATGCTGAACCCCATGTTCTCACGTGCAGGTGTCCTCAAGCTGGAGGGTCTTATTCGTGAGCGATTGGCACTCTTGGAGATCAAGATTGAACGGCTTCGTGAGAAGCAGAACATTGACTTTTATGATGCGTTTCGGTACGTCTCTCCATGAAACGGTTAATCTTCTTGACCCCTGATTCATTCTGCTTGGTCCGTGGATTGACTTCTCAGCAGACTCCTGACTACCAACATCATTATGGAGTTTTGTTTTGCCGATAGTCGCGGTATGCTGGAGGAGCAGTCCGACAGTTTCAAGTCGCAATTCCTTACAGCTTTCAGCGTTGCTGCATCGGCGCTGAAGACCCTGCAGCAATACCCCTTATTGCGCATAGTCAGCAACGCGATCGCAGTGGGATTGCTGAAAGTCGTCTCTCCGGAACTAGGCAACCTCATTCATTTGACCGATGTAAGTAGCTTCTGGTCAAAATACTTCTTCAAACCGGTAGTTGAAGCATTATCTGACCCCGAGTCCGTGGAGTTTAGTATGCGGAGCAGTGTGTGAACCGCTGGTGCAAGTCTGATGGATCAAAAGCGGCTGTCAATCATCCCATCGTTCTCGGAAAACTGACATCGCTGTCGGATGTTGCATTGGTTGGCGAATCTCTTGATCTTTTGGTGGCCGGGTCTGATACGAGCGCCACGTCCGTGACCACTGCGCTCTTCGAGATTCTCCGTAATCCCGCCATAGAGAAGAGACTGGTCGAAGAACTTGACGCTGCTATTCACCAGTCGTTCCCAGTGTTGGCCAATTCCCAAACAGAAGATTTGGAAAGACCATAGGACTTGCGAAACTCAGCATTTGCAGTGGAGCATTGTTAACATGCAGTTGTGCTTCGTCCCAAGTCGTGGAGAGGATCTCATCCCATGCAGTGGGAGAGGCGTCAGAGGTGACGAGTGCCATATCTGCCTCGCCAACCGTATTCATTGTGTCAAACTCGGAGAGAATGGGTTTTCCCAGTGAACCTGGTAAATGTGATGGCAAGGTTTCTACTGATGCTCTCTCCCCGACTCAGTGGCGGGTCTTGTGCTCGTTGATCTAGACTCTCGTCTGACATGAGACTTCAACCTCGAAGACTGAGAAGGAGCCATCAGTCACTAATGCTAGTAGATCGCTTTGGGGGTTCGAGTGTTCTATACGGCCTTACCTGTCGGGCGCGACGAATTAAATATTGACATTGTCTTTCCTTTTGCGCACATCTAGTACAAGGTTGCAGTCCGTCGCCATCGCACCTCTGTTTGGCGGTGCGACAAGGGACACAAGCTTTGGCTCCCCGGGCCTTGTCGGCCACCTTTAAATTTTGCTTAATTGAGGGTTCGTGGACCAATTCGTGTCGCTCAAGGGTGTCTCTGTCAGGGTTCTCGCCGTCAGTACTTGTTTTAGATATGTGGAAATATCTCTTGTCCTCCGAAGTCAAACACACCTTCTAGAGAAATGCCGCCTGCATTTGGAACAAGCGAAAGGCTTGTAATCCTCATGGAGGAAAACGTGCCTTTTTAGATGGTCTTGGCGCTGGAATTCCATGCCACATACCGGGCAGGGGAAAACAGATGTTGGTTTATCCAAGGGTGACGCCATTCCGACAATATGACCGCCGAGAAAGAAGAGGACGGAGGAATTAACCAGATTAAGTCCAGTGGCGGGGAAGGAAATGCACCAGTTTACGATGAGGGCCGGCCCGCTTTGCATTGCCGATGTCCGTCACAGTGAGAGTTAGTGACTTACTTAGCTTGGGAGCTCATGCACAGCAAACGCCAGGGACCTCCTTAACAGCGGAATCAGTTGACTAGGGGCACTCGGCGCGGGGGCGATTTAGCCCCCGAACGGTGGATCGTCGTTGAATCATCACCCTCACACTTGGTCAATTCCGACTCCATGTTCGCCATTCCAATTGTTCTCGGTCTATTTCTAATTCCGAGTTGCATACTGTCCTATCAAACCAGCCGCTAAATAGCACTGAGTCCGAGGTCGTCGTACTCGGGAATAAGTTCACAGTGTGCAGCTTGTTTCACACCCCACAACTTCCGGGCTGAAATGTCGACCTAAGCTCACTATTTAATACACCCTGTCTCTAGAACACGTTATACGCCAAAGTAAGGTATTCAGCTTCGTTGAACTGAAGCTTCGCATAGGTTGCCAGAAACAAAGTTGCTGGCTCTATACAGCCACCGGCCGAGGGGTCAAGTGAACCATGAGAGGGTGCTTAGCCCACACACTGAACGAGCGACCCTTCTGCAACCAGTCCATGCTCTCTGCCGCAAGTTCGATATCGAAATTCCAGATCGCACGAGCAAGGAACATGCGCATCTCAACATACGCCAAGCTAGACTTCATTAGCAAAAGAATCGGTTGAATGAAGTACTTTCCGAGTCTTACTTCTTTCCGATGCAATTGCGCGGACCAAAGGAGAACACATTCATACACTCCTTTCGGTCACTAGCGAACTGTGGGTCATCAAGCCACCGGTTGGGGATGAACTCGTCGGGTCGACTAAAGTTGCTGGTAGTGTGATACATGGCCCAATGCGGAATTGACAATACAGTCTGTAGGTTGTCAGAAAGAATACAAGCCAGCAAAATTGACAAACTTTGTACTCACATTTCCTGGAACTCTCTTCCCCAGAACCAGATTGCCTTCCGGCGGGGTAATTCGAGGCAAAGCGTTGGGTGCCGGAGGAAAGAAACGCAGGGTTTCCTCGAGAACGGCTTGGAGATATGGAAGCTGCGCGGTGTTGATAGAATTCATCTCTGACTCGGACGCGAATGAAGAACGGATCTCATCAGCCAACGTCTTGAGAATCGCAGGGTGTGTCGTCAGCATGTAGATGGCCCCTGAAAGTGCGGTTGCTGTCGTCTCTGAGCCTGCAATGATGAGTGCTTCGGAGTTCTCGTTCAATTCTTCACGAGAGACGGTCTATGTACCACATTAGCCTCAGGTTTTCAGTTGTGAAGTTACACAACTTGATACTTACCAGGCCACCTTTTCCAACAGTCATGCCGTGCACCAGGTCAGGTCTCGCATCTGTCAGTGTCAAGCGCTTAGACACCTTCTCTCGTGTAAGTTCCTTGTGCTCAGCTGCCTTCTTGACAAGTTGAGGAGTGACGAAAAATGGAAGAAGATGGTTCGCCACTGGAAACCGCGCAAGTGCAGACCGCATAGCTGTAGTCTTGACATTTGCAAAAACCAACTCGACCCACGGGTGCATCGCTGATTGTTGCAGACAGCCAAACGGCTCTCCAAAGGTCAAGTCCCCAATGATATCGAAAGTCGTGTAGTTGAACCACGCACAAATATCAACTGCCTTGCGGCCTAGTTGACTGTTCTCATGGAGACGCTGGATCAGCAAGTCGATGTAGCCTCTGATCATCGGTTCCTGGTCTCGCAGTGCTGCTGATGAAAATCCGTGAGACATAAGTCGCCGGACGCGTGAGTGGTCAGTTCGGTTGAGGCCCGTGATGATTGGTGGGACAGCATAGAACGGCGCCTTGCCGTTTTCCGCTTCACCCGACTTACGGTGGCCCATGACCGCTTGCCACGCCTCTGGCGAGGTGAAGGACAGTTCATTGGGACCGACCCGAATAACGGGGCCGTACTTTTCGTGCATGTCGCGAAGCTTGACGTGGTAAAGCCCTCCCGTGTAAGAGCGAAGCCACGGGATTTGGGAAGCCGCCCATAGCTTTGGGCCAGGATACTTCCGGAGAGGATGTAGTAGTATGTTGTACAGCGGAAGGAGGACGATGAAGTATACGATGGCCTGTTTGAGGCTTCTAGTCAGCATATATGATAAGAATCATCACAATTTGAGAACTAACCACACTGATTGCAGCAGAGACTGCCGCTACCACTGGGTAGGAGTCTGCGAGACCCGTGAGCCGTGTTGTAGGCAAGGCCATGTCCATATTTGTGATAAGAGAATGAGTGAAGAATTGCCTGCTCGATTTGTTTTGTATTGAGGTGATCATAGAAACTTATATATCGCTTCTTCTCAGGTTCCGTCTCCATTTCCATCTCGACCAAGCCCCCATGATGTGCGGATAGCTCCAGCCTCCGAGTCAATATGCTTGCTTCTTCCCCATGACGCGAACTATCGCTTCCGCGTCATAAACAGGCCAATTGGTTCTACAATACGTTTGGCGAAGGCGGTATGTTGAGGTGCATTGCAGTACTATATGCGCCGAGGGTTTCAGTTACCACATAATTCCCCGTATCATATCGCGGCACTTGGAGCTGCGACGATCGCGGGATGGAAGGTGGGTGACATGCGGGAAGCATGCGGGCGTCATACGGCATCCGGCTGCAACGTGCGCACGGGTTTTCGGGCGGTTCGAGTTGCGTGGTCCACTGTAAAATTACTGGAGTGTCAGCTACCGCCACATTTTGAGCAGAAGTCGAGACTTCGCAGCTCCTCTTTCTAAGACAAACCAAGTCATGGGTGGTGAGCTTAAACGAACGGGGCATCATCGGGATAAAGCCGACCAGCAGTTGAATTTAGGCGAAAGAGGTGAGCCTGTGCTTACATGTTGGTAGATCATTCATGAAGAGGGTTCAAATCTCATATAAATGTGAGCATTAGAACAGACGTCATTGTCGATCATGACTACTTGCAGACAATCGTCATCTCGACCAGCAAAATGCTGTCGCAAGATTGAGGTCCAACAGACAAACGGTCAGCATTGTTCTCACTGATCAGCGTGACTGTGTCGAGAACATGTAAGCTCTCCCAGAGTGGAAGCATCAGCATTCACACTCCTAACCTTGCATGTATTCAATGTTTGTACCATTCACAGAACACCATCCAGAGTGACAGTCCACAGAGTAGTGCATGTTTTGCACGTGATTAAAGGCGTGGCTCATCAGCTACATGATGATAATCAGACAGGACATGTACTCTTACTCAGGCCAATCAAGTGGTCTGGAGTTAGCAAAATGCTTACTTTTCCGCCGCTCCGAATCCTTTCGGAAGCCTCAACCAGACCAGTTGTCGAGTGTTAGTGGGAGTCTCCGTAGTGGGGGCGGATGTAAGCCACTGTTCCTCCCTATAGTTTTAGGTACGCACAGCCACCTAGCATTCTATCCGAAGGTGTTCGGAACTTACAGTTTGCCGGAACGTTAATGCACATCTAGATTCACATGCGTGCAACTTGGCTGAGATAAAAGCGACGATGTTCCCAACATTCCAACTGCTTCTCCAATTTCAAACTATTGCTGGATGGCTGGTTTTGACATGATAACTTCTACCTTGATACAATCATTTTCATCAACCATGGCGACTCTGTTAGCACCTTGCCACATCATCTCATACGCAACTCTACTGGGCACAACCCTCTTCCAGACCTTCGTCAACACCAAAGTATGTCACAACGAGCTTCCGAAGACAACTTTCACAACACTGCAAAAACGACTTTTCCCCATCTACTTTCGATGCCAATCTATCTTGCTGGTTGTAACGGCACTCACATTCCCGCCTAGTGGGCCAGCATCTCTACTGAAAGACAAGCGGGATTGGGTTCCATTTGCCATTGCCGGCGTCACCGCAATCCTGAACCTATTCATCCATGGCCCCAGAACGAAACAAGCAATGATTGATCGTATTCATCAGGGTAATATAGAGCCGCATACATCCCATCATTACATTGTTGCTAACACTCGAAAACAGAAACTCGCGACGCAAAACAGCCGGACGCCGTTGATGAGATTAGCCCAGACATGCAAGCCTGCCGGAGGCGGTTTTCTCGAAACCATGCCATGAGCATTCATCTCAATTTGATCTCAATCTTTGCCA